TACATGTAAGAAGTGGGCGGAGTCTGGAAGTGGGCGGAGTTCGTAAGTCCTCCTAGTGGATTTTGAACTTTCCAAAAGCGCTTTTTCTCTCCAAACTTTACAGATAGGTTATTCGGGGGGCCGCCACTAAAAGGTTTTAAGGTCTCGATACCAATTTGAGGGGACGCTGCCTATCCCACGATTAAGTTTGTTCTTTCAATGTTGCAAAGCGGTTCCAAGTTTTCTGGTCACAGAGTGAATGATGGTAAGATCAATTTACCAGATTCATCATCATCCTCATCAGCCTCATCTTCTACATCGCTCTGATCATCATGCCCATTTTCTGTCGCAGGATGGTCAGAAAGGCCTGTCATTCCGGAAAAATCATCGAAAATTTCATTTCGTGAAACCTGAAAGCAATAACTTCGCCGCGCCATGATACCAGTGATACCATGCTTCCAACAGGATACCTTTGTTCCGCCATATTTGGAGCTATCATCAACATCCAATGCTATCACTCTCCTTCTCAGATTTGAAACGCCGTTATCGTCCTCGGATTTGGTCTTGGAAACTGCTTTTGATGATGTGCCTATGAATAAAAGTATATAATCTGCCAATTTCTTCAACGCTGCGGATGCTTACCGTCAACGTCTTCATCCTCCAAATCTGGAAGTTGAAAAACAGGCTGCGCTAGTTTCTCTATATCCTTTAGAAAGGACATCTAAAGAGAAAAATTTATCGATTGAGTTTCACAAAAGTGCCGCCTTTGAGGGAAAAAAGATGGAGACCGAAAGAAAACCAGAGAAAATCGAGAATCCACAAGTTTCGGAATTGAGTACTACAACATGTTATGTGCGATCTTTCCAAGCTCGCAGCTCATCGCGTACGACGTACATTCGTTAGTGAACAAAAATTGCACAAGGTTTGCGAGACATGATTAAATCTTTCACGAAGTGGTCGAACTGTCTTTAGTGGTTTATAAGCGACATAAAGGTATGCAAAGACCAGTTCGACAATGAGCTGGTAAATTCTTTGAACCGGGGGTCATTTGATATGCTACTTTGTTCGTGACTTCGATATTTGCTGCATTTATTCATCATTTGTTTCGCTAATTGATACAGATCATTTAAGACTTCTAAATTATGGCACTTCGTGTTGATTATGAAGGGAGCAATGATGTAGGAGTGTTTTGCACTTTGACAAATAGCTATTGCCTCGTCGGCATCGGCGGTACGCAGAATTTCTACAGGTAAATCTCCTCAAATCCTCATACAATATGTACTAGTTCTTGCAATTTCCAGCACGGTAGAAGCTGAGCTGGCAGATGTTATTCCTGTTGTTCACTCATCGATCTCTTCTACTCGAATCGTTGGTCGGGTAACTGTAGGTACGTGAAATCAGCAGTGATCTGTTTACGTCCCAGTTTATCCTGTTTAGGAAACCGTCATGGGCTACTAGTGCCAAATGGTACCACGGATCAAGAGCTGCAGCACCTGAGAAACTCACTACCAGACGAGGTTCGGTGATCTTCTCTGATGTTTACCGTTACTCAAGCCATTCACTAAATTCTTTTCCCAGCCTTATATTTTGACTTTTGCTCTTTGCATGGGAGGTATAGATAACCCTCTGAAAACTGTCGAATTATGACAGTTTAGATATTATTTGAAAT